GCGATCGGTCCACATTTTCCAATTCCAAAGCCCTAGAGCCTGGAGAATGTGGAAATCAGACGCCCTACCAACTGATCACTCTGATGTGAGGGGCTATGCGAGTGCCAGAAGTCTACTCCCCGATATTGCTCAAGGGGTTTTGGCCGCGAAATCCTGTGCGCCGTGGTAACACGATGAGCAGTAAAATGATCTATAACTGCTCGCGGCCGGTTTGAGTGAAGAAGTTACCGAGCCTACATTCGTAAATTGATGCGATCACTGCAGCAAAACGAATGTCGTATACTTTTACCCCATGAAGGTGGCGAAGATGCAGCTATCGTTTCCCATACTATGTGGGTTTAACCATGCAAACAAAAGTAGGAAACTGACAAAATACCAATAAGGGGCGATTATTAGTAACGAAAACCGACGAAGTCCAGAGGCCGCTCAGTACGGTGGGGGAACGCTGTCGGATCAAATGCTCAAGGAAAAACTATGAATCATTGCCAGTGCGTTTTTCTGAGGCATAGAAACGCATCTACCTGCAAGAATAAAGTCAGAAATTTAGAGTGAGTCGACGAAGGGGTATGCCGCCTCTTTGTGACGTTGTGAATGAGTCCCTGTTCAATGCGTAAAGACCGGCACGGAAACTCATGTTTACATTATGTTCTCCGAGTAGCCTATACCGCAGCTCACCAACCACTCGTTTCCAAAGACCGAAGTAATGAAATGTTTACCATGTTGTGCTTCAAATTAAGTGTGCTCCATTAACAACAATTACACGAAATAGTTACAAAAACAATGCATACTTTGTTCAATATACACCAGCCTGCAGCAATAGGGGATAAATTTCATAAGTAAAAATTGGATTTGGACATAAAACCTCATGTTTATCCATTTCATGTTCAACACAACCTGGGTGGCTGTGTGCCTTGTGTGCAGTGTGATTTCAGTATTACCGATCTGCTCATTCAGAACTGGCGAGCGCCCTCACTAAGTCCCAATAAACATCGAGTGTCAATGACTTTATAAATAACCGCACTTCACACACTTGTCTGTCGTGAATTCTGCTCCTTAGACACACACCGCAAATTTCTCTAAAACCACAGTTTGAACGAAGGAAAGTTTTACACGTAGCCCTAGTGTTATTGGCATTTATTTAAAACTATGAAACCTCCACCGTCCTATTTTTCTTCAAATTTGTTTAAGCGTAACAAGGGTCAAGGTATAGGTGCGGAATTTATGTTTTCAATGCTGCCATCAGGCAGCATAATGTCTCCGTGTGGAAGGCGGGAAATCCCCTGGATAAGTGGGATTCTCCACGTGTTTTATCCTCCGTTAAACTTGAAGGCATTTTAAAAGTATATGTCAGCGTGTTTGTTTTGTTTAGTTTTCGAAGTAGACGTAGACTGGTGCCTCGACACATAAAACGAAGGCGGTCGCAGCTTCGCATGACGATGGAAATCGTAGAGGTTTTTCAAGCTATCTCAAATATTTCTAACGGAAGAGAGGTCAGATTTCCATCATCTCCAATTCATGAAGCTATGCGAACTCACTGCAATAATCCACCGTTGCATCATAATAGCATATGACTTTGCTAGATACTTTATAGAGTGATACTGTGGTGATCTGGCTACCCAACAAGTTACATTACCAGGAGTGTGGCAAAGAAACAAAAATAATAACGCTAGATTGGGTATACAATAATAAAAAGGTCAGATGGAGCAGACTCAGTAACAATTGTCCTCTTTAAAATAGTTCGTCGTTGGACCAGGTCAGCGAGCAAACAATAGTCCAATTATAGTGGTCCAGGGGTTTTCTTCTGAACAGTTCCCACATATAATAGATTCCGAAGATGGTCTGAAATGCTTCGATACCAGAGTTAGCACATGAGACTCGCGAATGACCGCTGCAAGCACGAGCGAAATCAGAAGAGAGTCGAAGCACGTGACCACGTTCGTACTGCGTGAATTTTTTGTGCAAGTGCGCGTTTGCTTGTAGTTTTTCGTATTCAAACAAAAAACGATAATGCGTTTGACGAAATATGTAGCGCTATAATGGAAGCAAAATAAAGTCACAAAACACAACATTACTCCCTCACTACAGTGTTGAACATGAAAGGGGAAAACGCTCGAATAATTAAAGTATCAATAAAAAAGATAATCAAAAAGTTGCTCACTTCAAGTTTCACAATCAGCTAAGTGCTAAGGGAAATGGACACGTCGTCCGGAACGGCTGCTAGAAGGAGCGAGGTTGGCGGGAGGGATAAATTGGGTAGGTGAGGGTGTTGTTGGGATAGCAGGATTGCCTGATGTGGTCGTTGGTGCTTTGATGAAGACAGGCTTCAAATGAGCAATGGAGACGGTATCATGCTTTCCGCTTCTCTCTAAAACAAGGTATCTGGAGTGACGCTCGATAATCTTGAAAGGACCATCATAACAGGGTTGGAGAGTTTTCCTGGTTGTGTCGTGTCAGACGAATACGAACGCTGTAGAAGAGAGATCGGTTGAGATGTGCTGTTCGCGTTGATCGCCTGGTTGGTGTCGCACAAAGTTCATACATGTGCTGTTTCAGACGTGTGGCTAATGTGACGAGTGATTCGGGCTGTACGCCAGAAAGGGAAACCAGTTATGAGCAATGCGGTATCATGCTTTCCGCTTCTCTCTAAAACAAGGTATCTGGAGTGACGCTCGATAATCTTGAAAGGACCATCATAACAGGGTTGGAGAGTTTTCCTGGTTGTGTCGTGTCAGACGAATACGAACGCTGTAGAAGAGAGATCGGTTGAGATGTGCTGTTCGCGTTGATCGTCTGGTTGGTGTCGCACAAAGTTCATACATGTGCTGTTTCAGACGTGTGGCTAATGTGACGAGTGATTCGGGCTGTACGCCAGAAAGGGAAACCAGTTCACTGGCTAAACGTGAAGTTGTACCGTATACTAGTTCGGCTGGTGGAGCGAGTAGCGAACTAAATGAGAGTAAAGAGGAGGACCACAAAGGTGGTTTTCTTTGGGCAGTCAATGTAGCTTTGGGGTAGCGATGGAGACGCTCAACCAGATCGTTGGAACAGGGATGATACGCGGTAGCCAATATGTGATGGGAACAGAATAATGTAGAAAAC